GTTGTTCATGGAGTGTTGTCATGGAGGTGTTGTGGAGGCCTTGTTCATGAATGTTCACATTCCATCTCCTCCTTCCTCTCGTTTCAGGTGAATAGAGACCAAGTCTGTGTGTCGGTTGGCTGCTTGAAAGCTTTTAATACTACAAACACTACAAAATGAAGTCAGGAGTAACACAGAAGCACTAAACTCATCATTAGATCAATTACCTGGGAGTCCCATGAAAGCATGTGCCTTAACCTCCAAGCCAAGGAACCAAATCCCATGAAGAATTTAAGGGTTCATAAACAGTATCACGTTACTCTTTTTCCCATTGTGTAAAAATGTCTATCATATAATTTTGACAATTCAACTTTTTACAGGTGTACAACTTCTTGACAACAATCACAGTAATTGGCCTTGCAAACGACCCTTAGTCAATGTGATCATTTCCATTACCATAACCTAACAAAATGCTCCTGAATAACCCTTCCTTCCTCTCCCTCCCAGCTCTAGGAACTACAAATAAACGTTGGTCTCTCTACATGCGCCTGGTCTCTTTTTATATAAGGAAGGTCATATAGTATTTGTCCTGAGATTGACTACAAGCTCCGCCCATATTGTAGCATGAGCCAGATTTCATTTTTCCTACTGGCTGAGTAATGGTGCATTAGATAGATGTACCATATTTTGTTGATCCGTTCATCTACCGATGGGCATTTAGATGTTTACACCTTATAGCTATTGTGACTCATGCTGTAATGGACATTGGTGCACAAGTCTCTGCTTGAGTTTCTGCTTTCAAGTCTTTTGGGTATAAGTGAACTAGCTGTATCATATGGGAGTTCTCTTTTTAATTTTTTTGACGAGAGGCCCAGCTTTTCATTACAATGACGACAATACTATGTTTTTGTTGTATTTGGGTGCCATCAAATTGATTTTTGACTCATAGTGAAAATGTGTGACAAAGTAGAACTGCCTCAGAGGCTTTGCTAGGCTGTAATCTTTATGAGAACAGATCACCAGCCACCGGGTGGGCTCGAACTGCCAACCTGTTGGTTAACAGTCGATTTCTTAATGGCTGAGCCACCAGGGTTCCAGAGAGGGGACAGAAAATAGTTCTTGGGAAAATGCAATAAAAAGATAATGGGTTTCCCACAAACTTTATGAAGCCCCTTCAGATTTAACTATGTATAAATGGCCTTAATTCTTTAAATAATTTATATACTAAGCATTTGTACATGCTAGGCATTGTACAAAAATACTAAGAATTCATCAGTGAGTCAAAATATAGAGCCTCTCAGGCATTCCTGCTTAGTGAAAAGTATGACATTTATGATGGATAGTCAACTACATAATACCAATACCACGTGTATTTCTCTATGCACATGCCCACATGTTCCTGCTGTAGGGCAGCTCTGGTATATAAAAGAAGACACTCGGAGTTTAAGAAGGCTCCCGAAGTCATGATGCTAAAAGTCCAAGAGACCATCATCCCTTTCTTTCCCACCCCGAGGATGGGCTAGGTCTGACTTTGGAATCAGAGACTTCCAGAAGAAAACAACAGAAAGAAGCTTCCTGAGGATAGAGAGCTTAAGCACAGGAAAGGGCAGGTCATCTGGTCCTAGTGATAAGCAATAATGTTGGTAGAATGGGCAGAATGCTGCAACTGCAGATTTTATGACCTGCCAACTACCTTGACCAGCCACTCACCAGTGAGGTTATTGTACTGCCTCGGAGGTCCTGATACTGGACGCTATGCCATTGGTATTTCAAATACCAGGAGTGCGTCCGAGGTGGAAGTTTGTCATGGGACTTTCAGTCTAAGACAGGCTAGAAAGGAAAGTTCCTGGTGATGTAATCTTCTTCCGAAAATTAGCCAAATGAAAATCCTATGGAATCTTTTCTGATACAGTGCCAGAAGATGGACCGAGTCATCTGGGAGGCACGCAAAATACACAGTGGCCAAGCAACAGATATGGGTGTCCCAATGCAGGAAAGTCGTGAGACAAGGCCAAGCAGTGTGGTTCTGTTGTACACGGGGTCGCCAGGAGTCAGGGCCAAGTCCAACGGCAGCTAACAACAACCTCAAGCACTTGAAAACTGTCGGCTTCCTGTGCCAATCAGATGAAATTTCTTTTGTTTTTAAAAACAAAAGTGCCCATAGTGACTTATACTCTTGACTGTGTGACCAAATTATCTAAGATGAAAATCCAAAGAGCATCATCGTCAGCATAAACTGTCCTCTAATCCACTCATTTTTCCCTTAGAAACATGGCTTGTAAGGCAGTGAATTTGATGGGCTCAAGGTACCCTCGGGTACTTGTGGAGGAGGGCATGAGTGTCCCTTAGAAAGACAGCAGATGGGTCCAGTTCCTCGCCCCACAGTCGTCCGGGCACAGAACATTGATCAGATGAACTAATTTACATGGAGAATGTGGTCAAGAGTCATAAGACCACCCAGGGCTTCCACCCTTACCATTCCTTGCCTTTACTTTTTAGAGAGTCTGAAAATATTCCCCCTAATTTCTAGATCTATTTTTAGGTCTCTTTACCACTTTGTGCTACTTTACTGATGTAATCATGGGAAAAGAAAGTCCCTGAAGAAGGAGTGTCATTCTGCTGTCGCTTCCACGTTTTAATGTGAATTGGGTGACGGTTTACCGGGCCCGTCATTGGTCTTACATTCAGTCGCTCATGCACATTCATTGCAATCTCCTTGGGGTGACATCACGTACCCCACATTCTCGCTGCTTCCGTTCCCATTCTCCCTTCTTTCCTAAGGGTTCGGAACTCTGTCCTTGGGTAAAGCAGCCCTTTTGCTCGAGCGGTGGCTTCTTCTGGGGTGCATTTTTTCCTGGTTGTGTCCCCCGATCGTCCGGCTGAAAATTGAGTCCTGGGGTGCGCAGGTTCAGACTTGAAGGCTGACTAAAGGTTAGAGGCTAGCTTTCTTTTAAATCATTTTATTGGGGCTCGTACAACTCTTATCACAATCCATCCATCCATTGTGTCAAGCACGCTTGTACATATGTTGCCATCGTCATTCTCAAGACACTTTCTTTCTCCTTGAGCCCTTGGTATCAACTTCTTTCCCCCCCTCCCTCCCCCACCGTCCTTCCCTCATGAACCCTTGATGATATATAAATTATTATTTTTTTCATGTCTTACACTGACTGACGTCTCCTTTCGCCCACTTTTCTGTTGTCCATCCCCCTGGGAGGGGGTTATATGTCGATCATTGTGATCCGTTCTCCCTTTCTCCCCCTACCTTTTCCTCACCCTCCCGGTATCACTACTCTCATTACTGGTCCTGAGGGGTTTATCTGTCCTGGATTCCCTGTGTTTCCAGCTCTTATCTGTACCAGTGTACCTCCTCTGGTCTAGTTTTTATCTGACCAGTAAGCCTGTTTTTAAAAATATTTTAAGTTTTGTTCTACATTCTCTCCCACTCTATCTAGGATCTTCTAATGTGATCTCTTTCAGGGAAGTTGGTAGTACAACCGGACCCCATTGAGTTCTTCAGCTCTCCTTATCATGGGAATTGATGTTTGGGTGGTCCACAGTTTATTGGACTGATTGTGTCTTCAATTTTCAGCACTCTTATTTCCTCCAGAGAGGAAGACCAGTAATTGTTCCTTAGATGTACAGTCATCAGCTTTTAAGACCTCAGTTGCTACTCACAAAAGTTAGGGTGTAGGATAATATTTTTATGAGCTGTGTTATGCCAATCGACTTTGGCAGAAGACTGAATATCTTGAAGTAAATTTTTTATTGCAAAGCAATTTTATATACTGCACCCTAAGAAATTGTTTTCCATGTTCTTAAGTGATAAGACACCAGTTCCAGGGCACAGGGTCTATCAGTGTAGTGACATCTGCCTTATCAGTAGAGTGTCTCTCAGGGAGTAAGCTGTAAGAGAGACTGTCTCCCATCTTCAAGGAGGAAAATCCAGGAATTCCCAGAATTCTCTAGGGAAGGCCATGCCCAAACAGAGGCCTCATTGGCTATGATCTGATTGACAGACTAGACCCCACTCCTTCCCTCTTAATTCTATCAAGTCCCAAATTGACACCAGATTATGTAACTACCACACTTCTCTACTGTCACTTCCCTGAATCTGAGACTACACCATGTGGCTATTGGTTTAGTTGAGTTAGTTCATGTAAATGGTTTAGCACAGTGCCTGGCAGGCAGAAAACAGAGGGCAGATAGTCACAAGCGTCATTCAGATTTCTCACCACGTCAGCATTGTAAATTTGTTGTGAGGTTTAAGAACTGCATAATCCTTTTTTCTTATTATTACTTTGACAACTGATAAGGAAGCTGATCATCAACTATAGCTGTTCTCGAATAAAAAGAATAAAGCAACTGTGTCCCCTGGGTGCTACAAATGGTTAGTGTGCTCTGCTACCAAGCAAAAGGTGTGAGTCCACTCAGAGATGGGGGGTGATCTGTTTCTGAAAATTCAGTCCTCAAAACCCCAAGGTGCACAGCTCGCCTTTGATACCTTTGGGGTCACCATAAAGTGGAGTTTATGCAACAGCAACTCACTTGTGTTGTGTTGTGTTTTCTCAAGAGGGCACGTGTGTGGCCCGCTCAGAATGGCACTGACCGCTTAGCGTTAGCGATGGAATACTGGGCCCTTCTTGCCAAGTTCTCTCCTACTGTCCCCTAAGGGAAAACAGGCAGCTCGCTTATTGTTCAGGGCATTTCCTTGCCATGTTACAAAGGGGTTTACTGGAGGGCAACTCAATGAGATCCTTGAGAGGAGTTATAACTCTACACGAATAAACTCAGACAGTACTATAGGAAATATCTTCCCTCAAAGATAAAACTAGCTACTAATTCTTGATTCCCTACTTATTATGTTAGGTGTTTTTCAGACCTAACAATGCTTCCTACAGTGCACTGTAGACCATGTTGTATCTTGGTATACTCATGACTGTTCTATATGGTATAATTTTCTTTCTTCTTTCTTTCTTTCTTTCTTTCTCTCTCTCTCTCTCTCTCTCTTTCTTTCTTTCTAGGGGATAGCATGAACGCAGTCCCCCACTACCAAAAGTTATGCGGTCGAGTTTCCCACATTTGAGGAAATCGCAGGGGTCAGCACACCTGGAGTGCAATGGATGAGCCTCGCCCTGGGAAAACCACCTTCGTGATCATGGTATCATGGTATCTCCCCTGCCAGGTAAGTATATGGTGTAATTTTCAACACATTTTTTTCTTCATAAAAATTATCACAGAAAAAGAGACTCTTGAACTTGTTGTGACTGTTGTTTCCAAGAGAACTGTAACAGTTTAAGGCAATTACATCTTCACACAGATGAAGCCACCTCAAATGGTGTTGTAGTTCCTCCTTTATGAGAGGTGATTGTTCTGTAGCCAACATGTTTTAAGCTGAAAGAATGTTTTGATAAGACAAATTAACATATTTCAGTAGAGTCTTCGGACATGCTCATTAGAATGCTATTGTTGAGTGCCATCCAATCAATTCCAACTCATGATAGAACAGAGGGCTCTCTAAGGTTTTCTTGATTGTAATCTACAGAAACAGATTGCCAGGCCTTTCCCCAGCGGAACAGCTGTTTGATTTCATATGGCCAACGTTTCAGTAAGTAGTCAAAGGCTGAATTTCATAACCTGTGGTATCATGGTTATGTGTCAGTCTGTGATCTGTATGGTCGGCAGTTCAAAACCACCAGCAGCTCTATGGGAGAAAGCTGTGGGCTTTCTACTCCAGTAAACAGTTACAGTCTTGGAAACCTACTGAGTGTTTTCTAGTTTACCAAAGGTTACATGTAGCACCACTTACATTTTCTACTTCTGGAGTCTCTTCGGAAGTCGTCCTGCCCCACTTCCCTTCCACAGCAGTTACTGACCCCAACAGGGACTTGTGTGACTGTGAAAAACAGAAGTTCATTGGTGACAGATTGCTGTATTGATGGTTACTGGGTGACATGGTACATTCCACATAATTTTCCCCCAAATCCATCATACTGAGCAAAAGTTTAAAAGCACTCAATGATTTTGCATGCATTCCCTTAGTGAAAAAGCATTCCATCTACAAAACCTTATAAAACAAAACATGATTTGGTGATGAAAGGGTGAACCATTGTGCCATCCTGGTTCCTTCTCATTTGAATAGCATTTCAGGTTGTGTAGTTTTAATCATGTTTTCACAAGTCACTGGTGTTTCAACTTAGGGCATGGAAAAGTAAGGAGCTCTGTATTTATGCAAAGGAATGAAAAGTTCTTAATATTTTGTGGCTATCAAAAGATTTGTTAGCCAGTAAGAATAGTAAGGAAGTTTCTGCTTACCGAACACTACCCCAGGCAGGCAGGGGTCAAAGAATAAGAGATCTAGTTCTTTATGAACTCAAGTGACTAGAAAGAAGATTCAAATATGAAATGTAAATGGGAATGTAAATATGAAGTGACAAGAACATTTATAAAGTTGCGTTCAGTACGTAGAAATGAAGAACAACAAGGCATCAAGATTGAGGGAAGGCTTATTAGTAACCTGCAATTAGCATTTGACACAACCTTGCTTGTATTTTGCTTGTGAAGATCAAGGACAGTAGCTTTATTTATGGTTCCCAGCTCAACTTAAGAAAACCCAACCCTGTGTGTATGGATTGGGATAACAGTTGTATGAGCCCCTAATAAAATGTTAAAAAAAAAAAAAAGAAAACCCAACCCTTAGCAAGCTGCACAGCATGATAAATGGAGAAATGATAAATGGAGAAAAGTTTGACGTCAGGGTTTTCATTTTGCTAGGATCCACAATCAATGCTCATGGCAGCAGCAGCTAAGAAATCAAACAACATATTACATTGGGCAAATCTGCTGCACCAGACCTCTTCAAGTGTTGCAATAATATCATTTTGAGGACTAAAGTGTGCCTGACCCAAGTACAGCCTGTGGGCATGCCATCAGGAGAGATCAGTCCCTGGAAAAGGACATCATGCTTGGTCAAGTTGAAGGTCAGTGACAAAGAAGAGCACCAAGGAGGTGAACTGACATTGTGGCTGCAAGCAAAGTCTCAGACATAACAATGACCCCACCCACCCCGCCCCCGGGGGACAAATAGCAGAGAGGTGGGTGAAGGAAGACAATGGACAGTGTAAGACACAGAATAACAATAATAATATGTAATTGATCAAGGATTCACGAGGGGGAGGAGAGGGGAAGGGGGGAGAAAAGAAGAGGAGCTGATTCCAAGGGCTCAAGTAGAAAGACGTTGTTTTGGAAATAGTCATGACAGCAGATGTACAAGTGTGCTTGATATTGTTGAATGATGGATTGTTATAAGATTTGTAAGAGCCCTCCAAAAAAATGATTAATAATACTATTTAAAAAGAAAAACAGAACAATGATTGTGGGCATGGCACAGGACCGGACAGTGCTTCATCCTGTTGTGCATTGGGTCGTATGCTTAGGGACCGACGGGATCGCACCGAACAAGCTAACAGCTAGTAGACAACACCAAACCCTGCTCCCTTCAAGTCCATTCCAACTCATGGTGTAAGACGGCCTCTAGAGGGTGACACTTACACAACTTGAGGCAATCAGAAAATCTGATTATTAGGAAATTTCCGGAAAGGTTTATATATGAGCTAAATTTTTGTTATTTTGTTTCTCGGTCTTATTTTGCTTTAAATAAGCAACGATTGTGACTTACAACAAATAAGGAAGCAATTAATGTGACATTGTACATTATATGTCCTTATAATAAAGGGAGGCAGGAACCAACTGGTAAGATTGGTTAGACTTCGGTACAAAGTCTTAGAAGTAGACTAAGATAGGCGAAGCAGAAAGATCTGGCAAGTTTGGGGAGTAATGGACAAGGGAGAAGGCTGCAGGATTTCCCACTGTTAAAAGACACAGTAAAAAAATGTTTTTTTAGAAAAAGACAGTAAAAATGAGAAGAGCGACAATGGAAGAACACTTTGTTCTAACAGCCTGGAATTCTAGGATATTCACCTTCCCAACACGATCACTGTGGGCAAAATGGGTGCATAAACAAACGTGGTGAAGAAAGCTGATGGTGCCCGGCTCCTAAAAGATATAGCATCTGGAGTCTTAAAGGCTTCAAGATAAACAAGCGACCATCTAGCTGGGGAGCAACAAAGCCCACGTGGAAGAAGCACACCAACATGTGTGATCATGATCTTTAGACAATTGGACATCCCCTCACAGAAGGGTCACAAGAAAGGGGCAAGCCAGCCAGGGTGCAGTACAGCACTGACAAAACATAGAACATTCCTCTAGTTCCTTAATGTTTCCTTCCCCGCTACTATCATGACCCCAGTTCTACCTTACAAATCCAGCTAGACAAGAGCATGTACACTGGTGCAGATAGGAGCTCTCGACACACAGAATCCAGGACAGATAAACCCCTCAGGAACAATAATGGGAGTAGCAATACCAGGAGGAAGGGGAAGTGGGGGAGGGGGAACCGATCCCAATGATCAACGTATAACACCACCCATCCAGGGTGATGAACAACAGAAACATGGGTGAAGGGAGACAGCAGACAGTGTAACATATGAAAATAATAATTTATAATTTTTCAAGGATTCTTGAGGGTGGGAGGGTGGAGGAGGGAGGATAAAAATGAGGAGCTGATACCAAGGGTTCAAGTAGGAAGAGTATGTTTTGTAAAGGATGATGGCAACACGTGTACAAATGTGCTGGACACAATGGATGTGTGGATTATTATAGGAGCTGTCAGAGCCCCCAATAAAATGATTTAAAAAAAAAGAGTAGAGAGAAAAAACATTGAATTCATTTTCTCTCCTGTCTCAAGGTGACCAGTGTCCTGATTTGCTCAGGGCAGTCTTGGTTGCTCCAACTGCAGGTCGGTGAACACTAATTATCATTATTATTTTAAGACTAATTATTTTTGTGCCTCCATTCATCCTCGTTTATGCCTAGGCTTGGACGACAAATTCTATGGTCTCCCTAAGAGACCTAAAAGTACTGAAATCCGCACACTGTTTGTTCCACCCATCCTTATAAGCCTGAAACACTGACTAGAAAGTACGCCGATAAAGAGGAAAATCGGGCAATTGAAAGAGCCAGGCTGCCGTGGGTCACGACTCTACTCTTGGCAAGTTCTGTGCTGTTCCTATTGCCTCTCACATTCTCGTCACTTTTTGAAGTTTGTATCGCGAAGGGGAAAAGTTGCTAAGTGCTTGAGACTTGGTTATTTAGTTGTCTGTTGATGAAGCTGGGTGTTTACATGAGATTCTCTAGGCTCTATCTTCTCAGACTTAATCGTTTTAAATTAAATTAGTACAAGCACCAGAAATATTTGGTCACACAAATATGTAGATCAGCATACGTGTACAGGAATGAACATATTGGTATATAAAAGGGGTCTTCAAAAAGCTCATGGAAAACATCCATGTCTTTTCATTTTTCATACTTGATAAAGCAGAAGGTAAGTGAAAAGAGGAAGACCATCAAGGAGATGACACCGTGGCTCCAGCAACAGGCTGACGTCTAAGTCTGATTGTGAGGGGGTCCAGCAGGGGCAGGGTTTCTTCCTGTTGTGCACTGAGTCACTGCGAGTCACAACGGGCTGCCTGTTGCCCAACAGCAACAGCAGCACTAACAGTCTACACGAGCCACAGCCTTCTTCATTCTGAGAACAGAGCTAGATGGTACCTGACCACCACCTCTGATCATTTTGATCAGGGACACAACAGCTGGACTGTGATAGAACAGGTGAAAACAGGCACATAACCCAAATTCTTCAAAAGTCCTGATTTATCAGACAGGTTGGCGCTAGATGGATTTGCTGAGACGCTCTTTTAAATCTTAAACCAAAATTATCCCTTGAAGTCATGTGTCCGTATGGGTAAACTAGGGAAACAAGTCCACAGAAAATTTTATATAAAAGGTAAGTACGCATCAAGAAAATATCCCAACCCACTGCTGCCCAAGCCCACAAGCCCAACATTAACCCATGTGTCCCACACCAATCCACAAGGTCCTCCTCCATCTCACAAAAGACACACTATGACACTGACTGCAGGAGGAAAGCCGAGTCAGTGAATGTGTAAGTATCTCAACGCTGGCAGGGGTTTCCACACAGCTGCTCCAGCACCCACGGCTGCATCAGGGTAGATCCATGTGGCTTCTCCTCAGGGATGTCTTGCAGGTCGTGAGCCTTGCAAGCTGAAGCAGGG